CTGCTCCGGGATCCTGGTAAACACTGTGCTCTCTGCCTGTAACACCCTAACTCCACAGTTCCCAGGTAGTTCCTGCTCATCAGTCGGGGGGTGGCTTAGATGATCTCTTCTCGGTGAGTGTCCTCACCCCAGCGGTGGCTGGGGGAGGTGGCCCCTCCCATTGATTCTTCCTCACTTCCTATTACAGATATTTTCAAACATACAGAGAAGTAGAGAGAACAGTCTAATGGACCTTCCAGGGAGCCATCACTCCATGTCAATAGCTACCGACGCAGCCCACGTATCTCAGTCTGCTTCCCCACCTACCCTACAGGTTCCAGAGGCTGAGACAGTGCCTCCAGTCCCACACATTCTCAGGACATTAGCACAGCTCTTGGCTTAGAGAAAACCCTTGATCCAATGCGGGTGGATGCCAAGAGCGCACATTTGTTGAGCACTTACTATAAAATCAGACACTCTTCTACATACTTATGTGTCTTTGCTCTCTGTATGTGCATAGCTTCCCTATGAGGCTCAGGCTACTCCTACTTTCCATTTCACAGACTGAAAAACTGATGCAGGTTACACAGTCAGTGGTAGCAGGCGAGCAAGGCGGTCTGACTCTGGAATAGAGCTGCCCACAGAAATAGGATGTGAGCCACATGTGGTATTTTAAATTCTCTAGTAGCCATTAAACATTAAAAACATTCAACATTAAAAAAATTGATGAAATTAATTTTAATAATATGTTGTATTTCACTCAGTCTATCTAAAATAATATGACTTCGACATGTCATCAATATAAGACATTATTAAAGAGATGCTTTATAACCTGTTTTGCATAATAAGTCTTCAAAATCCCCTGGGTTATCTTACAGACTAGCCACATATCAAGAGCTCAGTAGCCACAGGGCAACCGTACTGGCCAGCACAGCTAGCGGTCAGCACCCTGGACAGCAGCCACAGAACCTGCCCTCTCAACTGCTTCCCTGCTTAAATGGATGAAGGAAGAAATGAGTGAATAGAAGTTCCTAGGACCCCTGGGCCTGATCCTTCCTTGATAATTAATAATGCTTAATACTTTATGGCCCTTTAGAGTCTCTCTGGCACCATTTTATCTGCCATAGGGATTATTAACCCTGTACCATGGTTAAAGATTATCGGGTTAAGAGGGGTCAAACGCCTTTCTCTGACACACTGCTGCAGGTGGCAGAGCTGGGCCTTGAACCCACAACTCTGGACTGCAAGTCCAGTGCTCTGTATGGGGAGGGCCACAGCTGCCCCTTGAAGCAGGACTGTCTCCATCTGGCAAAGGAAGGTGTCTGTTGAGACCCCGGGCTGGGCTGGTCTTTGGGGATGGGAGCCCCATTTTGTTCGGGTCCTGAAGGAAGTGATGCCCTTGGTGAGTGGCAGGCCAGGCACAGGCTGAGGAAGCAGATGGGGCCCGTGCCAGGTCCTCTGTGGAAAAGAACCTTGTCATTCTTCAGTCTCAGTTTGGCCACAAGAGGCTGAGAACAAATTGATGGCAATGGAGCCATAACTTACCTCTGAAGGCCTCTTTGTTCTTGGCAAAACAAAGGGGTCATTAGTAATGGCGAAAGCGCTGGTGTGCAGACATAAATCCCCCCAGCTGCAGGGCTGATAAACAGCCCAGAGGGGATGGGGGCCTCAAGGAGCCCAGCAGGTTAACCGCACGCCATGGATCACTCATGGGCTCAGACTTGTGTCCACCCACATACAGACAAAGCCACCCCCTTCCCAGGCTCTGGAGGTGCCCAGAGATTGGGTCACCCTCCGTGGCTGTCGGGACTCACACCTGGCTCTAGGAGCCACCAAGACCCTCGTTTTTCCTCTCCAATGAAAATGGCTCCCTAGTATTGAGGGCTGAAGCAGGCTCCCACAGGGTACTCAGGGCCAACTTGGGGCAGTCCATGTGAAGATGCCCTTGGGGGGCACTCCTTCTTTCTGCTTCAAGCCAAACAGACACTGGCTGAGCCTCCCAGGGAAGGGCCGAGACTTAACATCACTGGAAAGGCATGTGTGTGAGGCCAGATCCTTGGGAGACAATGTGCTTTGCAGCAGTGTCTATGGTGGTCAAATGAAGTAGAATTGAGGCCACATCCTAGCTTTCAGTCTCCTGCTCCCCTGGGGGACTTCACCCTTCTGCTGGTCTGCCTGCTTTAGGCTCACAGTGAGGCCAGGTTGCAGGAGGACCATGCCATCCCAGGGCCAGAGAAGGGCAGGCAGGAACAGGCAGGTGGGCAGCAGGATCGGGAGGGAAGGAAAAGGGAAACGTTTTCCTCCAGCTGCCTGAAAAGCATTTGGGTGGGGCTGCGGGTTTTGTGGCGACAAACACCCATGAAGGAGTTAAAGGACCATCAAGGCCACCCTATAAGCGAGGTCCAAGTGCTGTCTTGGCAAGGATGGCAACTATTTGCTGCACATGCTGCCCTCTCTCTTTCCACATCAGTAACAGGCTCTACCAATTGAGTACCGCACTGAGCCTGCTTGACTTCACGGGTCCTCTTCAGGCAGCCATTACCAATCAATCACAGTTGGCATGTGAGAGGAAACCCATTTGTCAACCTTTCTAAAAAAGCCCTCAAAGCACATCTTTGCTGGCAGTGGGAATCCTATAAAGCTACGCTAAGTGCTCCAGGCCTTCCAGAAGTTTCTGCCTCCTGCCCCCACCTTTACACACATCGCCTACCTGTAGTTTCACATTCCGGGTTTCCTTTCTCATCCTGCGGTTCATACTTGGGGAGCTGGCCCAGGAGAGCATGCCCCTGGAAATCTCGTAGGATGCTGCCACAGGCAATTGGCCCCAGACTTCAGGTTCCAGAGCCCAGCCAGACACCCAAGGCTCAGCAGCTCTGCCCTCCAGCCTCCTGCTCCCAGGGGATGGGGTGAGGAGGGAGAGCTGGCTGGGGCCATCTTTGAAGGCTGGAGAGGGCCTCAGGGTCTGAGGCTGGTGGCCTAGCACCCAGCATGAACCTGGAATGGACCAACACCCTGGAGGATGGCCTTTCAGTGTCACTGCAGGAATTTCCCGTCTGGCCGTGACTGCAGGCTAGCTCCTGGCTCCTTGCTCCCCACCTCATCCAGGTGGGGGTATGTCTGGAACCAGCACACAGGCAATGAGATGAGGAGACAATCCCCCACCCATCCTGGTGTCCCCTTCGTGCTGTTACCTTATCCTGACCCCTCAACTATCATCCTTAGGGTTCACCGGTGTTTCTGCAGCTCTCCAGCACAAGCCCCTTGCCCCTGGGAGGCACTTGATTTGCTTCCCAAATTGAAAAACTCATAAAGGAGACCAACACCAGCATGGGCCTCCCTCCTCTGCTCAGTGGGAGAGGGCCCCCAAATTCTGGGGGGGGGGACTCTGCCTTCCCACAGAATGGTTTCCTTCCTAGGACTAGCTTTCCCACACCCTGGCCTAAGGACCATCTGCACCTGGGGCACTGTGAGAAAGGACCATTCCTGGGCCCCACCCTAGTTCCACAGCATGAAACTCTCCATGGGTGCCAAGGACTCTATTTTTGGTAGGAGCCCCAGGTGATCCTTGGGCATTCTGGAATTTGAAAACCCACTACCCTGGAGTCACTACCTTCGTTCGTTCGTTCGTTCCTTCCTCCCTCCCTCCCTCTCTCCCTCCCTCCTTTCCTTCCTTCCTTCCTTCCTCCCTCCCTCCCTCCCTCCCTCCCTCCTTCCCTCCCTCCCTTCCTTCCACAAGTACATATTGGTGTTTACTCTGCTGAGTCTTGTGTGGGGCACCAGAATGGGGAGGAAGTGGGGTGGGGGAAGAGAGGCCTGAATCTATGCTGCTGCTGACCACATGAGCTGGGGTGGAATTTGCTTTGGGTCCTGGGCTGGAAGACACAATGGTAGTCATGCCAGCAACTGCAGATCACAGGGAACCCACAATGCTCCTGATTTCCTACGTTCCTGAGGATGGGGGGTGCTTCTTCCCACCAGCTAATCCCCAACTTTGAAAGGTTATTATTGGCTGCTAGCAATAAAAATAATAACAGCAACTAACACTTATAAAGGACCTTAGATCCATTAACTGGGTTCTTTACATATATTAAGCCTTCTGACCCTTAACCATCCAAGGTAGGTACTCTTACTGCTCCCATTTTATGTTTGAGAAACTGAGGTATGGAGACCATCCCAAGGCAATACACTCACGAGACTCCATCCTCTACGTTCTTCATCATTACACCTTGGCGTCTTTTGAGTTTTAGGGAAAATATGTCCCCAAAATGTTGCTCTCTGTTGTGGAGGTGTGGTCAGGAGAGGCACCGGGGTAGACATTGGCCTGGTGGCCTGCCATCCTCCTGGCCATCAGTCTGGCCTGCCCACATGCACTAGGCTGACCCTTCATGGACCAGTGGGCAGGGAAGGAGGACACATGTGTGGTGGGCAGGGTACACAGGGACAGACCCAGAGAGTGTGCGTGAGTGAGCAGCCTCTCATGGGCCTGTCACCGGCCCCCTCTCTCCAAAGCCACCCAGTCCTGGGACAGCCAAATGGAGCTGCTACATGATCCATTTTTGGGTGGGGATATGAGGTCAGGGACGCCATCACCCAGAACCTTCTTTGTAGCCAGTCACCATTCCGCTCAACCGAGAGAGCGGGTGGGAGAGGAGGGGCTCTGTGCCTCCCTTGCGACCAGACACGAACTCCCAATGGTCAGAAATGTGATGGGAGCATGAAATCAGCTGAGGTGTAGCTGTATTCATTCTAAAATGATGTACAAATGCCACCCTTTCATCAAGTCAGAAAAGAAAACAAAGAAAAACAGAGCACTGAAGAAGGTTAGATGGGAGTCCCCAATGACCCGGGCTCGGAGCCCCAAAGTGCTCAGATGCCTCGGACCTTGGACAGTGGCACACACTCCTGTCACCCGACACCACCCCAGCAGCCCCCAACATCTTAGCCTCAGTCCCAAGCACTTCTCTCTCCTCCTTCCTGGCTCCTCCCTCCTTCATCCACTCAGTTCCTTCCCAAGGCCTTACCTGAGACGATGGTGTAGCCAATCCCCCGGGGACGTCCTTTATCCTGGTCAATGGCAGTGATAACTCGCACGGTTGTGCCCTGGGCAGGAGAGAGGAGGGACCTGAGTTTGGTTGTCCAGCCCCCGGGCGGCCTCCCTGCTGCAAGGCCAGCCTAGGAAGTAGCTGCTGAGTGCTCAGGTCTCGGCTGTCCCCATCACCCTGGGGACATAACACTGAGGCCTTGGCAAACACCTCAGAGTCCCATGGGGAGGCCCAATCTTGCTGATGCTATCATTCTCTCTTCCCCTCCCCATCTCCCTCCATCTGGTGTGACCACCCAGGAAAGAAGAGCATCCAGCTGGGGGACAAGAGATCTCATCTCTATCTCAACCACGCATCAAATTGCTGTGGGACATCAGGAGGGTTGCTGCACCTTTCTGGTGTCATTTGTCCCACCGTAGTATGGGTGACAGCAATAACCCTGGGACCTTGCTTTCACTAGGACTTCAGTAAAGGAGAACATGGATCAATTACCCTACTAACAAAGCATCATAAATCCTGAAAGTGAGTATCTCTAGGGATGACCCAGGAGGCCACCAAGGCCGTAGGAGCCATGCCCTATCCAGCAGTACCACCCACAGTTCCTGCCTCAAATGGCTCTGTCCCACACCCTGTTCATCCTCCCTGCGGCAATGGGGGAGAAGGAGCCAGGTTCTGGGACCACCAGGATGAGGACTCGGGGGTCCTCGCTTTTAGGGAGTACACAGCCTATGGGGAGGGGTCGCAGACAGATTCACAGGCACTGCTGTACACACATTAGGGTGCTTAGATGCGGAAATGTACCCCAAAGTACAGAAGTCCACCTGGAGGAGCTGGCAAAGGGTTATACGGGCAGCAACATTTTGACGGGTCATGAGAAATGAGTAGTTTTCCAGGGAGAGAAAATGATCCGGAAGGCAAACTAGGCAGCACGGGTAGAGGCCTGGAGCCATAAGACTCTCCAGGAAGAGATCCTGTCATATAATGGGCACATTCACATGTCAGTTGATGGGTCGGTTGGCTGATTGAATGAATGAACGTATACAAGACGATTCTCATTTCACCACCACCACCACTTGCTGGGTCGTCCCTTGCCCACGGCAACCTTCACCTTAGCCTCCAGGCCCTATCACACCATTGGCCAGCCAAGCCTGTCCACCATGCCAGCCTGAGATTCTCGCCTGGGCTACAGTTCTCCCTGGTTAATAATGAGGAGGACAGGGTCGCCTGGGTGGCTCAGTCAGTTAAGCGTCCGACTTCGGCTCAGGTCATGATCTCGCGGTTCATGGGTTCGAGCCCCGCGTCGGGCTCTGTGGTGATAGCTCAGAGCTGGGAGCCTGCTTCGGATTCTGTGTCTCCCTCTCTCTCTGCCCCTCCTCTGCTCACGCTCTGTCCCTCTCTGTCTCTCAAAAATGAATAAACGTTAAAAAGAAAAAAAAATTAAATAATGAGCAGGACAGCCCTGTCCCCATCCCCTAGGGAAATGTCAACCCTGGCATTTACATGTCTAATGATGAACTCTTGTGGCCTTGATATGCTGCCTCTCACTCATTTGCTGCTCGTCAGCTAGAGGGTGAAGTCTGCAGGCCACGTGCTCCTGAACACCTTCTCCCGTGGAGAGAGTCTTGTTCTCTGACACGGAGGCCCTCTGAGGGGGGAGGGGAGACACCTCCCCTCCAGACACAGAAGGGGCATTCACCACCTCACCCACTCGGGGCAGTGCTGACCCTGCACAGCTCTCCCTCCATCCTCTCCTGGGCCCAGGTGTGCAGCAATCTGGAACACCTCTAGGGTGGGCTGAGGGAAGGCGAGAATGTTCCAGGAGAAACATGGCCATTGCCCCGAGGCCAAGGCCCTGCAGAAAGCAGATGTGGCTCCCTCCTTGGCCACCCCCCCCACTGGGATAAGGGATCTCGGAGCTCTGACGACACCCCCTGGGGGGAAATAGACTGTTACCAAGTCAGAGAAAGACATCATTAAATGAGCATCTCCCCAGGTGGGTTCTGAGGACCCAAAGGGGGTCAGAGCCCAGGAAGTTCCCGCTGAGGCAGGTGCTGTTCTTTCTCAAGCACTCACTCTGCTGCGGCAAACGCCTGCTAGGAACTCCTTTCCCCCTCACACCTACTCCAGAAGCCCCACTTTCCGGATGAGGAAACTGAGGAACTCGAGTTACGGGACCTGGCCGTGGTCCCGTTGCAACAAATGAATGGTGAAATCAGGGTTCAAAGTCAGGTACTTTGCCTCCAAAATGCTCTTGCCCTCCAGGCAACACTGCCTGTCTACCAGCTTCTGTGATAATGACGCTGTCATTTATGAAAGTCCCTGTGATGTGGCAGGCACCAATCTAAGCACTTCACAAGCATTAGCTCATGTCACATTCGGAACCACTTACATATCCCATCCTTCCCTTGGGCTTAGTGTAGTAAAGGCTCCTAGAAGTTAGTAAAGTGATTAAAACAACAACAACAACAACAACCCTGTTAGCCTTTGCTCTCTTGGGCTTTCTGGTCTGATGACAGACTCTTCTCCTGTAACATCAGTTAATGGTCCCAAACCCAGGCATCTGTGTGTGTGTGTGTGTGTGTGGGGGGTCATTCAGGAGGCATTCATCAGATTTGCAGCGTCTATGCTAACTGCTCACCCTGGTATCACCCCACACAGGGCACTTTTGGGGGTGTCTGCCTTTCTGGGGGCCACTCCTCACATAGGGGGGGCCTGGATTTGTCCCCAGGGGGAGGTCCCAACAGTGTGAGTCTCGGGTGCCAGGATGGGCTTTCTGGACACGGGAACAATCCCCCCTTTTCTAGAGCCCCATGTGGCCTGGGCCCCAAACGTGTTCCAGTATGAGGGTTTCCAGGTCCCAGGCAGCCCCTGGCCTGCTGAGGGCACAGACTAGCCTGCCAGGTTAACTGGGCCCCGAGGCTACCAGAACACCTTTCCAGAAGGTCACTAAACAAGAAACCTCAAGGGGCGACCGCAGGTCTCTGGGCATACAATCCGGGAGTGGCTGGGCTGAGCTGGGCCTAGTGAGCCCCCGGAGGACTGAAACGGGGCTGGTGTTGGCCCGTGCAAATAAGGGACCTGGCGGCCAAAGAGCCCTGGGAGCACCTCCCCCACGGCACTCCCACCCTGGGCTGCCGGTGGGGCTCCGAGGGGCCGCCAGGCAATCCAGGACGAGATGACGAGGAGGCCGGCTCTCCCCAGGAAGAGCCACACCTGAGCTTCTGGGAAGTGAGCTCCAACAGGCTCCTGACAAAGTTTGGGGTTTCATCTCTTTTTGGGTAAATAAATCCATTTTTAATAAAACCCTGAGCTTTTAATACAAGTGCAGCCACAAAGACTGGAAATGTTATGAGAAGGAATTAACGGGGAGGAATGGGGGCTCTTGGGATCCCACGGCTCTTGTTTCGGAGTCTCAGTAATTATATTTTCAATATACTGAAACTTATTTCCAAAGACGGGGGGATGGGGAAGCATGGCCCCTGCCCGGCCCAGAGCCAGGCCCCTAAGTGGCTGGCCCTCCAGCTAGGGGCGGGGTTGGCTGGGAGAGTAGGTGGGAAGGCCCAGGAGGGTCAGGGAAGGGTCCATCCTGCCACAAGGCTCCTCCTGTCACAGGAACCCATGTTGTAAGCAGGAGGCCTCCTGGGAAAGGAGGCTCCCCTGAGAGGTTAAGGGGGCACAGGCCCCCAGGGTCCCGGCTCCTTGTGGCGGATAGAGCAGTATGGTGACGGGGCTCGGGGTTTGACTGGTGCCAGGCTGTCTGGGCTGCAAACCCTTCGAGTGAGTTACTTGATCTCTCGCTGCCTTGTTTTCCCCATCTATAAAATGGGTATCATGACAGCCTCCACCCCTGAGCAACTGATATTTGTGAAGCACTTGGAACTGCACCCAGGACGCACAGCAAATGCTATAGACGTGACGGTCAGTGTTCACGGGGACCACCGTGAGCATCTGATGCAAGCTGAGTTGCCTCTCCGTAGGGAGCGCATGCATGTGATGTTCCAAAGGACTTCGGCACGTTCAGACTCCCTAGCACTCCAGAAACATACCACGCGTTCTACGGGTAAGGTGTTTTCTGCGTGTCCTATAGAGAGGGCAGCTAACAGCCCAGGGAGAGCTAGCACTGGTTAAACACCTACTCTGTGCCAAGCACCGCGCTGGGCACCCAACACAGGTACTCTCACGTTTTCCTCACAAGCTCCAGTGCGGGGGAATATGTGAGGAAACGGAGGCTCAGAGGTTCCAGAATTGGTCTCACGTCCCAAAGTGTGGGGAGTGGGTCGGGTGCGGATGACTGGGGAATGGAGGGCTGGGTTGAGGTGGGTCTGGGGGACTCCACGGCTGGCAGAGGTGACAGGCCCGGGGCTCTGTGCCCAGTTGGTGTGCCAAAGCCAGGGGTGGGGGAGGTGTGCGAAACGGCCCCTGCCTCCGAGGTCTGGGTACTGGCGGGGAAGTCGGGGGCGGAGCTGAGAGGAGCTTAGACTTCTCTAGAAGGGACTTGTGTCTCCCTTCTGTGTGGCCTGCCTTTTCCAAAGCAGCCGGCCAGGACAGGAGCTGGAGCTATAACCCATCAGGCTCTGCCGGGCCTCGGGGGTCCCAGCCCACCTCTCTCCCCTGGGACTGCTTTCCCAGTTCCATGACAGGATTAAGGACTTGAAAGGTGGACACAGTTTGCTTCAGGAGGTGGGAGGCGCCCGTGGGGGGAGGGGGCCCGTGGGGGCTGCAGGGGACTTCCGACAAGAGCTGCCACAGCAGATTCTGAGGCAGAAAATCCTATTTCTCAGTCCTTAATTCCAGTCAATTCCAGTCAAAGGGCTGATAGGCATCAGCTGGCAGTAATTTGTGCAGTTTATCCGCTCTTTTCACCTTCTATCGGTCCTTCACTGACGGGCAGGTCGACATGCCGCTGCTCGAGTGAGGAAATTAAAATTTGATGCAATAATCCCAAATAAGAAGGATTTTATTAGGTAATATATACACTTTAGATGAGGCATGCTGGCCCGATACACTGATAGAGAGAGGCATACATGCTGGGAGCCGCAGATAAAGAGGAAGAGTGAGGCAGAGTGGGCCGGGGTCCGAATGGAGGCCCCGAGGCCAGCAGAGGCAAGGCTGGGAGTGGGGATGCCTGGGTCCTCGGGTCGAGGAGGCTGGGCCTGCCACAGTGCTCCTTGGCCCTGGCCGGCCTGGGAAGTACTGAGTTAAGTCAGGATTCCACACTGTAAAGGGACACGCAGGGCCCGGATCAAGGCATGGAAACCGATTAGAAGCCTGGGAAAATCACGCTTGGAGTATATGGGAATCGGCCTGCAGCAGAAAAAGCTGTGCTAGGGACACACAAGTGACAGTGCTCCTTTTAAGTGTGGGGACAGGGTGGAGAGGCCGAGCTGTGTGCCCACGAGAAGATTCTGTGGGTGCCTGGGAAAGTCCAAAACCTCCCCCTTACTTCCTCGTCTGGCTCCCCTGAGCCCAGTTGTGACCTAAGTGGTGGGGCTCACACCTGCTCCCTGGGAGCTCCTGGGGCATTGGCTTTAGTGGCCTCACGGCGCCAAAGGGACAACCGACTCATAACCTCTGTGACCAAATGCCTCGCTGGGTACTCTACACAAGCATGCAACCTCTAATCCTTGAAGCCCTCGGGGGATGGAGACACTACTGTAGACATTCCCAGTCTGTTTCCCAGCGAGGAAGCCATCCAGAGTGTGTGTGATTTGGCCAAGGTGGGTGCGGGGACCTGCTCCCAGTTTCCCTGGCTGCCTGGTCGCCATCACATCCTCACTTCAACCAACAAGTTGGCTTTGAGCATCTTCTCTGCACTCAGCCCTGGGCACGATGCCCTGGGAGACCCACTGGAAGCCTGAGACCGGGTCCCAGAGACTCAAGTACCTTGACTACCAGGAGCTCCAAAATAACGCACTCACACGTCGGTGAACATTATAGGGACAACTATAATTCAGTGGTAAATTATGCAGCACAGGGAGGGCTGAGGGAAAGAAATGGCTGGTTATGTCTACGGGCTGGTGAGGATAAAGCCAGGAAAAAAAAAATCAAAGAAAGGTGGCCAGTGAGCTGGGAACCAACAGACGGGCAGATTTTGTACTGGTGATAGGAGTGGCCATAAGGGGTGATGAGGATGGCAGGATGGTGAGAGGGCTGGTCTGACCAGGACATCGTTTGTTCGTTTGTTCGTTCATTCGTTCGTTCATTCATCCATTCATTCACTCCACAAACACATCCTTAGCACCCCTGATGTGCTATGCCCACAGCAGTCCCAATCCCTGCCCAACTACACTTCCAGTCCAGCAGGGAAGCAGAAGCTGAGCCAGCTGTCCAAGAGTGCTGAGTGCTAAGAAGGGGACATCTAGGGGCCAGGGACAGTTGGAAGGGCCTATCTTCTCTGAAAGGCCAGGGAAGGACTCCCTGGGCTGAGAAGATGTGGGGGTAGCAAAGAGACTTTGGAAGGAGATAGCCTTTAGCCTCAAAAGCTAGAGGTCCTGCTGTCCATGGACCACTAAGAAAGAGAAGGTGAGGAGGGGGGGCATTGAGATGTCCCCCTCCACCCCAAAAACATCTCCAGATGCCTGCAGCAGGAGACTAAAAAGGATCTTGCCTGTTAGGTCCTTCAGCCCATACCTGGCCCCAAGAAAGACGTGGCTACTACCCCCCCCCACAAACCCGGAGACTAAAGCACAGTGCTTCGAGGATGCCATGGTCAGGATGGACCACAGCCTCCAAACTGGAGGTCAGGCTTCCCTGGACTGTGGTGGCCTTACAGGTACAGTCTTCACCCTGATCAAGGGAAGCCTGCCTTTCACTGATAACCTAATCCTGTGAGCCAATGCAGGTGTGCATGTGGGTGCCCTGCTTTGCTCTCCAACTTGTGTGTCTTTCCTCTAAGCACACCGAGCTCTGTCAAAAGGAAGGGCACGTTTTTCTTTCCACAGGAAAGACTCCCCAGGCTGCCTGTCCAGGGTTGCACCTGCTGAGAGGAGCCAGTTTTTCTTAGTTTATCAGCCCAGTGTGTGTGTTTTAGTCGAGTTTGCACAAAACCACGGATGGCGACCAGGCAAGGGATGGGCGAGTGAAGCTGCCCGCTCCCAGCCCCTGCCAAGCAGGCAGTAGCACGTCTGGGTCTCGAAGATTCCCAGTCACAACCAGAGGCTGTGTCTGAACCAGAGGCAGACACAGAGCCCAAGGGCAGCCAATCTCCAGGCTGGCTGGAGATCTGTGACTGTGCAATGTGGCACAAAATCACGAGCACGGCCAATCAGGTGCCTCTTTTGAAAACGTGGACTTGAGAAATCCAAAGACACAGCAGTTAGGAAGAGCAGCCAGAGCTGTGTGCTCTCAGAGAAGAGCCAGGCCAGAGAGGGTTGGGGAGAGGGGGGTAAACGGCCGCCATCTTAGGCAGCACTGGTTGGCTGGGAGAGGCAGATCGACCCATGAATATGGCTGAGCCCAATCTGTTTGGGTAAGCCTGGATGAGTCCAAATGTGCTCTCCAGACCAGGCTGGTTCCACAGGCATCCGTAGTATCCCACATAAATCTTTCTGAGCTGCTCCTGTTCGTTTATGCTAGTAAGTCTTTGTGTTTTGCTTCTTGGAACCCTCTGGGGATGAAGTGAGAGGGTGAGGACACGGGGTGCGGTATGAAGAGGGGGTTGGGTTTTCACTGTGCCAAGACACCCATCACTGACATGCACAGGGACTGAAGGGAATAAGAAATGCCAAGGAAGAGTCTGTCCTACCAAACAGGGCCTCCGTCCCCAACGGAAGCTCAGAGGGAAGCCCCACGAGGGCCAGGGAGCATCTTACCGGAGGAGAATGCTCATAGATGTTAGTGCTGTAAGGCAGGTTGATGAAGATAGGGTCCATGTCCTGGACATCTGTGATGATGATGGCCAAGTTGGCCAGGGTGGACAGAGGCCTGGTCTTGTCTTGATCCTTAGAGGACAGAGAATACACAGCCTTAGGTTGTGACATTGTTGACACGCGTACACACACACACACACACACACACACACCTGCACACATGACACCCATGTACACAAACCTGTGTGCCTATGTACGCACAGGTTCCCGCACTCCTGCACAAAGATCGTTAGTACACAGAAGTTCAAGAACTCTAAGAACCCACGGTGATCTCTGACCTGTGCAGGAAAACGCAAACAGGGTCCCCAAGGCCCAGCAGAAGGTGGCTTATCCAGTGTCACAGAGGAGGGTTAGGG